TTAACACGTTCCGTGCCGAGCTTTTTTTACTCGAATCTTCACACTTTGATAGTTTACTAAAACTTGATGTATTACGTGCAATTATGAATTCTCGTACACATAACAACGTAACAAAAACTTATCAACGCCCATTCTTGCGGTGGAAATTGATTCTTCGGTTCTAAATTTCTTGTAAACAATTTGTTCAGTTCACTAAGTAAACATGCAAGCGTGTACCATCGATGGTACACGTGGCACGGAACGTGTTAATAACTGAATATCTTTTTCTACTGTATTTAGCTTCTTCAATGCCCAGAAACGTTTGGTTTATGTAACACCTCCGGAATTATTTGCGACATTTGATCATTAATTTTTCCGCTAATCTATCATATCTTCCTGATTGTAACAGGATCCGCAAAAAACATAGTTTAGAAAATAATTGATATGGTACAAGTTTTTAATTTTAATTTGGTTAGATGAAATATAATACTTTGCATGAGATTGTTGTGTTTGATAATGTGGTGCTGAATATGTTGTGTATTTGCAATGAATCTTCATGCAATCCAAAAATATTCTGCACTAATTGTTAGGAATAGGAATTACATCAAATTATTACATTACAACAGAATTGATTTCATGATTTCATCATTAAGTTCTTCTAATATCTTTACTATTCCGTGTTCCGTTTATTCATTTCTGTAGTGATCGCATAAAAAGTTGCAGTCTAAATAAATTCTTGGAATCAACGCAATTCTCAAAATGTTCCATATGCTCCTATAATATTTTTAAGGCAAATAAACACAGCAATATTTTCAACGCATTGATAGCTCTCATTTCATTCTTATATGTGACGCATAGAAAATGTTATTCGTGTTTCGAACGTTGTAGAATGGTTTTCTGCGCATGTGCAAATATGTGTATGCTCTGATCATGATTGCTAGAATATTTTTTCAATTGTAAATGCAGCAATTACACGTGATGCGTTTAATTGTTTCAGGAACGTTATTCGAGTCGGGGATTGGCCTCGCAATCTAGAGCTCAACAAACAGTTGCAACATACTTCCGCTACTCCCTTATGGATCTGCTGCAGAAGATGGTATCAGGGTCACCTCAATTTGTGCGCTGCATAAAGCCGAATGATTCGAGAAGCCCCAGATTTTTCGATAAAGACAAGGTGGTGAAGCAGCTGAGGTATACCGGTGTGCTGGAGACTATAAGAATTAGGCAGAACGGCTTTTCACATAGAATACCATTCAGTGATTTCTTGAAGAGGTATGTACTAATACTATCTTCTCTATCTATCTATTCGTATTATACATATTTAAATAGTAGAGCGTATTAAACGACAAGCTTTTCGAATGTGATGAAGAAAATACTTGCAGACAGATTTTACTATTTTGAAAATATTTTTATAAGTACAAAAGTGTATGAACCTAAAATATCCACTTATAAGAAATTTCGACACTGTCATAGTAATATACTATCTCCTCCAAGTCGTTCCCTTCATTTACGATCACATATGTATTGTACAGTTAAATTTCGTTTCAAACATCTGCATATGTTATTCGCGTTCTATACATTCTTTCTTTTATTTTTATAACTTTTATCAAATTTATTAACGTTAATCATGACTATTAAGATTTACCGTCTACTCTGAAAATTATAACGAAGAGTACTACCTTTGCGAGGATTTTTCTGTACTGTAATACTACTTTCATGAAAAGCTCTGTTTAATTAAAAAAAAAACAGATTTCGTTAGAGAAGTCGCAGATCAAATAACAGCTAGTATTTTATACAAAGTGTGAATTAAACAGCGGTTAAAACAAGGAGAAAGTTTACTTTCTAAATGTATTAATTTATACGTCAATTGATATAGTAAAAAGTATTACGTTTGAATTGTAGATACTGTTTCTTGGCATTCGGTTATGATGAACGAGTGATAGCGAATCGTGACAATTGCCGACTTTTCCTTGTTCGTTTGAAAATGGACGGATGGGCTCTCGGCCGAACGAAAGTTTTCCTGAAGTATTACCACGTCGAGTTTCTTTCGAAGATGTACGAGGAACAACTCAAGAAAATCATCATGGTCCAGGCATGCGTTCGCCGATGGCTGGCAAGGATCAGATTCAAGAAACAGAAGTGGCAATTCGCTGTGTCCGTTGTAACTTTGCAACGTCATATTCGCGGCTGGTTGTCGCGAAAGCATTATATGGAACAGGTGAAGAAGAAACGACAGGAAGAGGAAGCTAATATTCTGCGGGCAGCGCTAGGTAATTGTGCGACGAAAACAGCAGTCAGGATCTTTCGTGTTTTATGGAAGACGTATATTCAGAATACAACAAAATGGCAATTGATTGGTGCAAATGACTAACAAATAGTTTCGAACCTGTTCTAACAGAGGAGCAACAGAAAAAGCTGGCCGAAACCGCGGAGCAAGAGGAACAACAAGAAGAAGAGTCCGAGGAAAAGGAAGACTTGAAGGAAGACGATGCTGCAGTCATTATTCAGAGTCGTAAGTTGTTAACCGAAGGACAGTGAGGAAGTTCACTGGTAACGAATGCAAACTAATGTTTTCGAACATTCGTAGATTTCAGAGGCTACACTATTCGCAGACGGTTCGGCGTTGAGCTTGAAGAACGTTTCAAGAGGATCTTGAATCACTGCCACGACAAGGTCGATGCGCAGAAAGCGTTGTTGCGCGAGGGTTTGAAGAACGAGGACGCTGCGTTCATTGTCCAGCAATGGTACAAGAAGGAAGAAAGGGTTAAGAAGAGGAGACCATCTACGAAAGACAATGTGCACCCTAAACTGCGACAAGCTGATCTCATTAACTTCTCACAGAATGTAAGTGGAACAATTCGATTGATAATAGAAGGATTTAGAATAATTTAGAATTCCCTTGGACAATGTTCAGTAAGAACTTAGAAACTAATACTAATAATAATAGGCAATATCGGACATATATGCATGTAACACACACACACAATCCTGAATATGCTAAATATACAATCTGATTTAAAGCATTAATAAATGAGTAAATAAGATTTAAATAAGATTGTTTTTTTTGCAAAGCATCGTACACAAAATACATTACATATTTTAAACGATATGTTTTTGTCATCGAAAGTGCTTTCGTTGAATAAATAACGAAAATATTTATGATTTTTGCACGATGCAAACAGAAAAAAATTCTCTTGTTGAACTGTAAAATTCATGGTAGTAACAGGGTTATATTATTCGAAATATTATTGCCTGTTTCTAAGTGAAAAATTAGATTAAGTTTCATTTCTGTCATTTGAAAGGACATACAATAATGTGTCTAACATATTGTTCGTTAAAATTGGGTAACACATTTTTTGGAAACAGATGGTGATTTGATAAAGTTGTATATTTTTAGAAAGTTTGATTTTTGAATATGTATTTGGCATAAATATCAAATGACCTCATAAAATGCGTAATTTTCTTCATTGGTTCTTGAAGTTGAATAATAGAAAGTGCATAATCAATGTGTGTTTGATTGATATAAGTAAAGTTTAAAGTAAATCGAACATAAAAAATGTCATGACATTCACTAAAGGTCATCCACAATACTAACTAAGCTGAGAATCTCTTAAATTGGGTTAAAAAAGATAACACATCTACAAATCCTTTTAATACAGATATACTAGAGGAAGTGACCTGGAAATCTCTAATGACCTAGACTTCGACGCGATTTTAATCCTTTAATCCTTTTAGTGCCAACCAACGATATATTGTTGTTTGCTACAATCGTGGAAATGTTCTTCTCTTCGTATTTTTGATAAATATCAGTTTTGTGATAAGTAACAGCTCATTTCTTCTTCCTTTCTAATTTGTTTAATTATTAGGCTTTACGAATTTACGAGACAGGTTATTACTGCATAAAACAAGTTTGATATATTTAACAAAGAATAATAGAAGAATTTTATAAGTATTTCTCATATGCGATCTTTGCTAAAACGGATGCAATCGAAGGGGAAATGAAAAGAAACGTTGTCCCATTAAAGGTGCACATGAAGAACCAGGATATACACAAGAATTTGCGGCGCAATAAACCAGGCATTCGAGTACACGACGTCGAAGAACCACCCCCCGACTACGTCCGACCCGAAGGATTCAACATGGTGCACGCCATTTTGCAGTATCGCAGCGGCAACCAAGAGGAAGGAGAGGATACTATCAAGTACTATCACAACCTGAAGAACGAGATGAGCAGGTAAATAGACCTAGAACTCTTCTACGATCGACTACTCACGTTCACCTTCTTTGAACGAATGGTAAATTCGAATGCTCAATTTTCGAATGCTTTTGGCACTCGCATCGGAAGTGGTTCGGAATTCGAAGAAGACGAAGCTGGCTGGGACTTACCGTTGATACAGCTAGAAAATGACCTTCACCCATCGTCGAGGTATACCATAGATCTCTGATCAATTATTCGTAGAAACACGTTGGTTGTTGGATCGCTGAGGGTTTTCAGAGACTCGCAGTTGTTGCTTCGTCGAGAGTTTGATATATCATAAGTGTCACACGATTATGTTTGACGCTTATAATTAATTTTATAGATCTATTTATGTCCTTTATATATTTATTTTATCTATTTATTTTATATATTTATTTCATTGATTTATTTTATTTATATGTTTCATATATTTATTTTATTGATTTATTTTATTTATATATATTTCATATATTTACTTTATAGATTATAAATTATAGGATTTATTTTAGCTATTTATTTTATATATTTATTTATATTAAATACCATTTTAATGTCATTAAGTATTAAGTAACATACTTAAACTTAAGAGTACTTCTGAGGAAAATGCTTCCTCTTTAATGCAACATATGCCAACATTCCCTGATTCTCAAATATACTGATTTTTTGTAAAGAAGTTACAGCTTGGCATAGTACCAAGGACGTTGATAACTTCTATTTAATCCAAAGTGATAAATAATCGTACCGCGAATGCATATTCGTTGTACAATTTTCAGCTAGAATTTAACTTTTGCCTGTTTTCACACTTTCTCCTTTTGCAGCCATAATTGTACAATTTTTACATGTTCATTTTCGATTCCAATATTTCTTTAAAACAAAAAGCAAAATTGACCAGTGCAACGTGTAAAAGGTAGTAATGTTTCTCGGGGGAAATATTCATCGTATATATAGAGAGACTGTAAGACGTTCATTTCCAGGAGTCGAATGGGCCAGATTTTGGAGGTGAACAGCGAGAGGAGAGAACGCCTGGCAGCTCAAGGCGACTTTTCAATAACGCCGGAACAACAACTTTCGGAAATATGGCACAAAGCTTTGAGAAACCCAGCCGATCCGACCGATCAGCAGGAAGAGAATCAACCCAGGCCGAGGTACACCCGAACTGTTTGTCTAGGCTCAGCCATCTACTTAAGCGTTGCGCATATTCGAGTCCTTGGAGTACAAAACTGAAACAGTTGTATTCCATAATGATTTATCTCAATCACTCATTTCTCTCATCTTCTGTTCATTGCGTTGTAATAGACAGTAAACTATCACTGAACTAATTATATTAATATAATAGTTGTGTTACTAATTCTTCACTGTGTTTCTACATTTTGCCAGAGGTATCATGGCAAACTTCCAGGTAAAATTACAAACTATGCCATCCGTAGATTGTATCGTAACGTACCAAGTATTTCATTGTGCCAAACATGTCGTAGTTTTGTGAATACGAAGAACGATTTCCATTTCATTTCGGGGAGATTCCAAATATCAGAGAACAGTCTAGTTATATCGGTAGACCGTTGGAAGGGGGCGAAACAAAGGACTCGTGCTTGTATGTCTAGTTCATCGAATTGTTTATCATGCTCACTTTATGTTCTACTTTGTTAGTCGCTAGTCGTGGAAACTGAATAACGATGTTGCGAATCACTTGATTGGACGAGATTCTTTTCTTACAGTACAAGGATTAATTACGTGCCTAACAACATCGTGCAGTCCCTTGAGGGCAAACCCCGTAAGCAACCTGGAGTCGACTCTTCGAATATCAACGATTCACATGGCCTACGATCCAAGTACATCGACAGACGAAACGAAATGAACGAACGCCAGCAACCTGTTAACGGGCACCCGTGTATCGCCAACGGAAGTTCCGCGAAAGGTCATCAGAACGGAGCCAATGGACACTCGAGTTATGCGAACGGACATCCGAACTTCGGTAACGGTCACCCACACAGGCATCAGAGCTCCGCGAACGGGCACGAAGCATCGCTTAACGGCCATACGAACTCCGTTAACGAGCATCCACCATCGAACGGCCATGTTTTTAAAGCGAACGGCCATCCGTCTTATCTGAACGGATACCGGAATATAATCAACGGCTGCCAGAACGGTTTGTTTATTAATAAAATGGTGGCAAATCAGTTCGACGGCCCGAAACAGGAATCGAAGAGGCAGAGTAACGCGTTGAGTAACGGTATCAAGAACCGTTTGAAGGACTGCGCGAAAGCTGTAGGGATTGCGAGTCAGATTGCCGATCCGGAGAGGAAGCGTCCCGTTGAGACGGATGCCAGGAACGGGATGAATAGAAAGTTGCTCGACCACGATGTCGTTAGTGGTCGAGCAGGGGCGAAGAAGGAATTAGGAAAGGATCCGTACGGCATTCCTGTCGATCTTAGGCAACTGTTGAGGCCTACAGTCGTCCAGAAACGGCAGGAAACCATCAAGGTCGACTACGATTCGGAAGATTTGAACGGACCGTATAACTTTAGGCAGTTGCTGAGACCGGCGGAGTACCTCCCCACCGAGTCTCTCAGGAAGAGAAAAGGAGGGCAAGCGTGCAACGGGGTTCCGGTGTCGAAGGACAAAGTTCCTGAGAAGCATGTCAAGCGAAGAGCACCATTGGCGCCCAGTCAAAACAAACCCGTTAACGTGAAGAAGTAACGCTACGCGATGCCTGAACGTTCGAACTCTCTTAGATTAGACGATGTGCGTGCAGTTAGACAAAGGATTCCGTGGGGATACGAGGCAGTTGGTCAGCACAGTGATTCACGATGCAGGGTTTTTCCGGGATATGGTTCAGGAAGTACAGGATCATATTTTCTCGTCGAAATTCTTCCTTATCTGCGGAATATTTTATTCGCTATGGGATTCTTAGACGTCGCATTGTTTCCCGATTTTTCTTAGGATTACAGTCAATTCTCCCTAATTGACGCTCAACTTGTGGAAAGAAATGGACAATTTATTCGAGCCATGCGGCACGTTTTTATAATTATCGATTGTCAACAATTATAAAAACGAGTTGCGAGGCTGGAATAATCGTACCGCCTCTTCCCAAATCGTCCATTTTTGCTTCCAAGCTGAGCGTCAATCAGGGAGAATTTACTAGAGTATTATATGTATATATATATATTATATATAACATATATACTATATATGTACTATATATATATTATATATTATAATAATACATATATTATATATATAATATGTGTATGTATATTATATATAATGTAGTACATACATATATATAATAGAGTATACAATACTGTAATAATAGAGTATTATTATATTTACTGTACGAGAATTAACTTGTGCTGCTCGCAAGTAATTGTAATAGTTACTCGCCCGTTTTAAAATCGCATTGTCGTTGGTAACTCTTCCGCATATTTGTTCCTGTAGGATTCAATCAACATTTAATGTGATGTTAACTTATTTTAGATACTTCTTCAGGTTACAGTAGAGTTGTGTATTCCTGAATGGTCTGAACACCCTGTATATGAAAGTAGCATCCAGTTTCCGATGCCATTGGTATCAGGATTTTCCTCGACATAAATGAAAAATATAAATTGTACTTTCCAATCGATTGTATCTTCCTTCGTGGAGTTTTGATATTTTCAATTTGGTTTCTACGTTCCGTTATCTATCTATTCTTAAGTACTTCGTTGTCTTGTTAGTTGATTGCTGCTTTCGTCTCACACGTATTTCAATGCTAAACTTTATTTAGAACTAGTCATGTGTAGCTTTACGAAAGACTTAGATGTGTTCGGTAGCGTTAAAAGAAAACATTTACTCTTGATGCTTCGACGATTTTAATGTGTGTTATGATAATTCTATGTAAGACAAACTTCATTTTTAATTTAAGGCGAATATAATTAATTGTTCCTCAATGTCCTGTCTCGTTAAATATTTACGGAAACACTCCGAATAGCTGAAAGTAACGAATGCCTGTTAAAACTTAATAATTGTATATAAAATTCTCTTATAGGAACAACAATAATAATGTATTAAACACCTGTTGTGCTTCTGTTTATGGACTTTGTTTAACCATTTATTTCAGTATCCAGACCGCAACTGACAATATAAGATAATATTCCAGTATCCAAGAGCATATTAATTAGGTCAGTTAGTTCCTCATAAATAAAAAAAAATATGAAATCACGAT